AACCAGAAAGTAGTAGAGAAGTTTGCAGAGCAGTAAGAGAGAAGAGCCAAAGTTTTTGTTCAAATATGTTGTGTGTTTTGAGTTTGTACAGATCCTGAAAAAATTGATGAAAGTTTGATGAATGGTTGCAATTTAGTTCTGTTAAATCTTAATAGTGTTAAATTAGATTATGATTAGAATATCCTCCAAGGTAGAAAATTTGCATTCCTCTAAATGGTGGTGCCTGATATTATTCATTTCTGATTTAAAATATAAGGCAATTTGCAAATTGCCCATTAAATCATGGGCAACTTTGGTGCAACAAACCCCCAGAAACGATGAGGGGTTTAGTGAAGGCTTACATATTCAGCACTGACATGTAGGAGCCTTTCTGGCCATTGGCTGCTGTGCTGCTCTTCGGGTGGCTCGACTGGTATCTTTCTTCCTGTCCCACTAATACAGAATTTTTCCCTATACTTTTTTATTTTCATTGTTTTATTTGATCTTCTTGTTTTCTTTACATGACAAACCAACCCTCACCCCCCTCTATTTCTACATCTAAATCCTGTGAAATTTCTTTGCTACCCTCTATGCAACAACTTCCTACTTTTTCTGTGGCTTTGTGTTTTTCTCTTTTTGTCCCTTCCTATTCTGTTTTTTGTCCCATGTCTAGCCTTTTACAGTGCAGCCCCACTCACCTCAGCTGGCATCATTCCCATCATGCAGTCGCTGTGCCCAGATGGACAAAGGGATGAATTTGGTTTCCTGCAGTACAAAAATTCCACGTGAGTAGATTTAGTCAACACTTACTTATCAGTCTCACAATTGTTTTTTTAGCACACTTGTTTCTTTTGAGTTATGTGGTTCTTTGTTTCATTATTTCTATGAGAATGCTAAGACTAGCCCAAGGACATGTGCAGTGCTACTCTCACTGTCTCCAATATGCTGCACCATCGAATAACAGATTTGATCAATCAACAGATTTAATAGCTGGTTATTGCTGCAGGATTGCCAACACAGTAATAAAAAGCAAAGCGTCTTCAGGCAAAGAAAAGTTGAATGAGGCTTAACTTTTGCTGCAGCACAATATATAGTGCTGTTTCGGCCCTTCAAATACCTGCAAGTGTACATTCCCGGTAGAAAAACGCTATAATGTCAATTTTCCTTGTCTTGGCTGTGTCTGACTTTTCTGTCAAAATTTAAATGAAGAAAAACTTTTTCATGTATTAATTTGAAGAACAAGGCTCATTTTTGTTCTGCAGAGCGGAGCAGAAGCTCTGGTAGATGTTGTCACCTGCCTCACAATCACATTGATTTTCTCACTCAGTTTCAGTTACACTTTGTCATATTTGTTGTTAATAATGTATTGACTTTTCCACCTGCTTTTTTTTTTTCCCCCCCAATATTTAAACTTTAGAAAAATATGTATTTCCACTTCCCTTCCTTTTTCTGAAATGGAAAGTGTACATAAAAGAGGTGGATGAAACACACATACTGAGAAAACATTTAGGAGAATATTGCAACAAGCAGTATTTGAATAACTTTAAATGGAATAATCAATTAAATCCATCTGCAACAAAGTCTCCAAAACATAACATTTCCTCAAAGAGTGCCTCTTCCAAATTTTTATCTGACAAACTTTTTTAGCAACTAAAATTTCCTCTTAAAGTGTTTCACTAAAAAAAACCTATAAAAGCCACAGCCCTGTTGGGCAGATATGTCTATCAGTTGCGAGTAGAGCAGTATTGCCAACTGATTTACTTTATTGCCATCAGAACAAATGGTGAAAACTTGTCTCGCTGACCTGCTACTGAAACAAGACAATACAAAATATACAGATGAATAATTACGATATGCTGGTGTGGTGGTTAGCACTGTCGCCTCACAGCTAGAAGGTTCTGGACTCAAATCTGAGCTGGAGTGTTTTTGTGTAGAGTTTGCATGTTCTCCCAGATTTCACTAGGTGATCTAGCTTCCTCCCACAATCCAAAGACATGCTGAGGTTAATTGGTGATTCTAAACTGGCCATAGCTGTGACTGTAAATGTGCTTGTTTGTCTGACTTTCTGTGTTGGCTTGTGATGGACTGGTGCCCTGTCCAGGTATACAGATTGGATAGATCGATAATTATATACACAAGAACATATTAAAATATACAAAGTACCATACATATTTATATATGTATATATATTTTTTAAAGGCCAAAAAGATATGTCTACCCTGCAAGAACAATTGACATATTTTGCCGGTTTTTGAAGTGAACAAGATGCATTTTCTTTGCTTTTTATTATTTTCAGGAAATAAGTCCTACAGACTTGGGTCATCCCTAACTTGGTTTCTGGCAATGGTTATTGGATAGACTGTTGTTTAATTTGGGACAGATATCCAGGGCTCGGAGAAGATGAATGCCTCTGACTTTGATGATTTCCAGACTTTTTTTCTAGCACCATCATTAGGCCTAAATTGTCTTAATTGTCCTAAATATCTTCAATAGCTTGGTTTGAGACAAAAACATGCCAAAATGGCAAACTAAGATGTTAAACATTACACCTGCTTAATGTTAGCATGTTTGCATTGTCATTGTGAGCATGCTAGCATACTGACTTGTTTTGTTATTTATGCTTTATTTTTCTAAATATGATGGATGTGTTTTAACTAGAGGTGAGACTTTATTACATTAATTTTGATTAATTAATTACAGAAAAATTTAATCGCAACTTTCTCTGTTGCCTAATGTCTGACACAGCAATAACACTGATGCACAAACTCCAGCCCAGTAGGTGGTAGTACTGCACCTAAAGTTTATTTGCTAGCTGCAAAGAAGATGCACAGGATGCATTGATGCATTAACGTCAGCGCATACGAACGTTTGATGAACAATGATGAAAGACGAGACTGCATTACTGGGCTTGTTAGGCGGAACATTTTTTTTTGTTATCAAGGCCCAATTTTGCCCAAATTTGTCAAATTTGCATAAAGTTGAAGTCAAGTCCACTTTATGCAAATGAGCTCACAGGCAACACTATGCCTCGTTGCTCGAAACTCCCTGAGACACTCCAAACACAATGCAGGGTGTTTCACTGCACAATGAGAGGGAAGCGAGAAACTGATGTATTCTGTGGACACGTAGCATGAGGCAGATGGACAGGAGCATGGTTGTCTGCAAATTGTGCAACAAAATGCTTAAGACAAAAACTCTTAAAATGTTGAGTATAATATTGCACTTTGAGTTTTTACTAATTTGTGAATGTAGTAGACAGATGAAAAATACACAGATAAATATAGATGAAAAATAAACATTTTTGTTGTTTAAGTCCAGGTATTAGTGATGTTCAATACCACCGATTTCCCTTCCGAAATGCAGGCTGGTATTGACAATACCCATCCAATACCGATATTTTGTGCAAATACACCTAATGTGTCAGGTAAATCTAAAAAAAAAAAAAAAATAGTGTATTTCAAATCACAACTTCATAATTATACAAGACATCAGTGTAATTTATTTCTTTATTGAGGTAGCGGCCTCATTTACAATACAACCGAGCTAAGACAACAACAGAAAAACCAGACAGAGGACATTTTTAATAAATGCCACAATAATTACACAAGTTTGTCAATAACTATATTTTAGAATATCAATTTAACAGTTAAAGCAAATTAGACTGATTGTAAATAATAATAGATATATTTTTCGATAAAATGTTATTTTTTATCCATCTTTTCAAGTATATATTTTTCTAAGTTCATCTTGGCTGTTTTATCGCAATTGCTCTGTGTAATTTAATGACACCTAGTCTATGTAATCCACTTGAAATGATCAATTCTTTAGGACATCTTACCAGAATAAATCTAGGCTTTTTTGCCTATGAGATATCTCACTGGTACACATATGAGCTGAACTCATGCAGCTATTTGTTGAAGCATGTATTTATTTCATTACTTATTTCATAACCATATTTAGTTATTTGAACAGCAACAGTGCTTAACGCCTCTTACAGCTCCACATGTCCCTCCTCTGTACTTGGATGGTGCTGCCTGCAGCTCTGGAGGGCTCCTCCAGAGACGTCTGTCCTGCCCCAGCAGCACCACCTGACACTGCTCTCGTCTTCTGTCTGCCTCATCAAAAATATCTTGTATTCTGTGTTGTGGTTTAACTTGAGGTGTTTCACAACGTTTTTTGTGTTGCCACAACTCCTTACTGTTTTTCCACAAAGTGCATCTTAGCTGTTTGATTGCATTTACGCTCTGCCATTGTGTCAACAGACTGAGACTGAACAGTGGCCACTGCACTTGCGCACTTACCCAGGCGGAAGATGAAGTAGTTCCCACCAACGGCATGTCATTTAGTCAAGATCTTAAAAGCTTAGTTACTTTCCACTGTGCTCCCAGTAATAATATACATTACCTCAAGTGACTGAAGTATCAAAAGTATTGATATTTTGATTTGAGAATCGATTTTAGAGCATAAAGATCTGGAATCAGAAGTATCAATATTTCAGTTTCGATCCACACATCACCACCAGGTATATGTCTATTCATTAATTCAGTTACCAACAAAACGTATTTTTGTCCTTTGCTTGCAGTAACCCAACTATTCAGTTGAAAACATCAAACTTTAGCTCCTTTCAAGCATATTTTATGTGATGTTTTAACAGACTAGCTGGCAGCTGGCAGAATATCGTTCACTCACTAGACTCACTAGAGAATCCCTTCTTACCAAGCTGAATGCTTTACTGGTGTTGTAGAACAGCGCCATACTATAAAAATAAATATTCCAACCAATGAATGATACCTTTACTCATGGGTGGGCGGGCTCTGGCACAAAAATGATATTAAAAGGCCTGTACTGACTAATGACTAATAGATTTAGATTTGTTTGCAACGAATACAACAAAAAGTAAGGTGCAGGCCTTTCAGTTCAAAAACAAAATATGAAAACTTTGTAAACAACTATGTACAATATAAAAGCTATATATATGAGTCATACCTTGTGTATATATATATATAAACTCTATATACAAAGATGAAGTTAAATAATAAGCATGAACACAGTGTATATTGCACAGAGTGGATATTGGACAGAGGTAGTGGCAGTTGTATATTTACAATATATTGCACCATTAAAATGCATGCACACATACTTTGTTAGGATGTACTGTAA